GCGGTCCCGGCGACCGCAGAGACCCCGACACTCCCCTCCCACCCCGTCCGCCGTCCCGGCTCTTCCCGGGGTCCCACCCCTCCATTCCCACAGGTTTCTCCGGAGACTGCCCTGGGTCTTGGAAATCGGCCTCAGAGAACCCGCTGTGGCCCCGAGGCCGCTGCCGGGTATCCAGCATGTGTACCCGAGGTCTCCTCCCTGCAAAACCCCGAAAATCTCCCCTCAGAGTGTCCCTCAGATCCCCTCCAGACCTGGGCATTCCCGAAATCTCCCCCAAAGGCCGACTTCACGCAGCCTCCCCGGCCTTCCCTCCCCCCGCCCCAGGAATTTACCCTCCCGTTTCCCCATCCCAGAAGTCACTCGGAACCCCAAATCTCACAGCTGCCACCCCGACTCCTTCAGAGTGCCCAGATGCGCCCTGAAGATCTTCCTTAGTCTCTCACATTTATGGAGAACTCTCCTTCCACGTTCCAAAACCCTCTTCCAAACCCCTTTTGTGTACCCCAAATCTGTCCCAGTAATCCACACCAAACGTTCCAAAAATTTCCTTTAGAAGTTTCTTCAGCCCCCCCACCCCTTACTTCAGGTGAACTTTCCCGCACCCCCACAAGCCCTGTACATCCTAAGGCCTCTCAGGACCCTCTGAGGTGCAGCTGCCCGGGGTCCCCTGCCTCACCCCGGGTCCCCTGCCTCCCCCGGGGCCCACTGCCTCACCCCGGGGACCCCTGCCTCACCCCGGGTCCCCTGCCTCACCCCGGGTCTCCTGCCTCCCTGCCGCTGCAGGGGCTTTCCCACCCACCCAGGCCTCTCGCTCCCTCAGCGTGGCTGTCAGCGCCTGCTCTGAGGAACCCTCTGCCCCCGTCTACCCTGGTGGCTTCCCCTGGGAAGACCCCTCCCTGCTGCCCTTTGAGGACTCGGCGGGGTTCTGGGCTGGCGGGGTTCTGGGCCGGGGTTCCTCTCAGACCACACCTCCCAGGCCCCGAGAACCTCCCCACGACGCCCGCCTGAGTCAGCACCTTGCAGGCTCCTCAGAACCTCCTCGGGTCCTCCCGCCGCCCAGAAATCTTGTTCAGGACCCTCCTGGGCTCCACTCCCTTTAGCACCCTCTCCTCTCCATTCTCCTCTGAAATCAACCCGAGAGGGCCTGTGCAGATCTGAGTCTCCTCACCCATCATCCCTTCCGGGCCCCAGCATCCTTCAGACAGCCGTCCCCAGAGGCTCCATGTCCCCTTTCAATAAGGCTTTTAAGAGACATGCTCCACCCCTTGAAGTCCCAGTCCTCAAAGACCTTTCAGGCCGTTTTTCTTAGGCTCCATGCTCAGAGACCCCTCCTCCCTTCAGAGATGGGGGGACCCTTATCACCCTCCTTAGAGACTCCTTGGGGACTGCCCCTGTTTTCCTTCCGGAAGCTCCCACCTTCCTACTCCCCTCGGAGGGCCTCCTCACGAAGGAAGCTCTTCCCCTATAGTAATGGGCCTCAAAGTGTGCTCCCTGGGAATTGCTAGAAATGCATGTTCTTGGGCCTTACTCCAGTCCTACCGAGTCACCAGCCCTCCTGGTGATTCTGACGCGTGCTCCAGTTTGAGAACCACTGCCTCACGGAGAATTTCCCGCTCCCCACAGAAAGCCCGAAAGATGCCCACAGTGCCCTCCTGCCCACTCCTGTTTTCCTGGGAACATCCTTTGTGCAGTGCCCACCCTCCAGAAAGACCCCTTCAGAACGCTTCTAGCTTCTCCACAAAGTTGCCCCTGAGCAATTTCTTCAGATTCTACTTTTAAATGGTTTTGTTTCAGATCTTCCTAGGACTTTCTCCTCTGGCTGCCCCTCCACACCAGTCTTTGGTGCTTCTGCTTCAAATTGCTATCTCCTCAGACACATGTCCATCTCTTCTATCTACTCATCTGTCCTTCTCCACAGAGGCACCCTCCCCTTAGGGCACCTGCAAATCCTCGTGCTCTGTGTCTTACTGCCCAGAGCCCTTTATTGTACTTCCTAGAGCACCACCCATCATCTTCTTTACAGTTTTTCACCCACCCTCACTGGACTCAGAGTTTGGGAAATAGTGGGGATGTGTCTTGTTAGTCTCTGAATCGCACAAGGTGGGATCTGCCCTCTGTAAATCACTGGGAATCATTGGAGCACAGGCAGCTCTTATGTTTGGCTAGAAATCTCTAAATTTCTCAGATCTCACACCTCATTCAGGTTCAGCACACCTTCTTCCCCTCCCCCTCCTCTCTTCTCTCTACCTAGCCCAAGGAGAGGCTCTCTGCCCCAACTGCTCTATCTGTGGGACTTTTCTTTGTCTTTCCTCCTAATTCCGAGCTACCCCAAGTCCTATTCGTGGTGACCTGCCTCACCCCATCCTACTTGACTTCTCAGCCCTCCTTTGGGCCCTCAGCTTTCTCTAAGGGATTCTGTTTCTCTCTAGGGTCAAGAAGAGGAAACAGAAATCACAGGGTAAACACTGGGGCCTGCCTTCAGGGAGCTCCCAATACAATAAAGAGGTTGGGCAGGTACACAGGGCAGAACATGAGGTTCAAATTATATGTTGTAGAAATTCAGCAGTGAGAGATTGCTTTTCTCACTAAGATTAAGTGAAACTCAGCACTTTATCTGGAAATACATCATAGAAAAGGTGGTATTTGGGCTAGGTGATATTCCATAGGAATTGGGACAATGACAGCTAGCCTTCCAAAGAAAGGAAACAGCTTATGCAATGGGTGGAAGACAAGAAAGTGTCTTCATCTCTCATCCATGGCATCTCTTCTCTTCCCCTAAAGGACAGTGATGAAAGAAAAGAGATTTCTCCCATCTGCATTGTATTTGCCAGCTGCACTTTAGTGACCCTAAGAGTAGTAATACTAATGACTACTGTTCATTGAGTTGTTATTATCTACCTGTCACCATTTAAGTGCTTTACATGTATTGTCTCACAGGACCTATGAGGTAGGTAAACTACAATTATCCTCATTTTATAAAGGATGAAATTGAGTGCAGGTGGAACAAATAGAAGCTCTCTGGCCCCTGTCTGTCCCAAGATGATAGTGTCTAGAGTCAGGGAGTTGAATTTTATGTTCTGATAGGGTTGGGAGCAATAGGGCATTGTAGTGTAGTGGCTAAGTATGCAGACTTTGGAGCCAAAAAGGATTTATATCCCATATTATCACTTACCAGTTTTGTGACCTAGGGCAAGTTACTTAACTTTTCTGGTCCTCAGCTTTAACAGTTAAAAAATGAAGGTAATTGCCCTGACTGGTTTGTCTCAGTGGATGGAGAGTTGGCCTGTGGACTCAGGTGTCCTGGGTTCGATTCCGGTCAAGGGCATGTTCCTTGGTTGCGGGCACATACCCAGTGGGGAGTGTGCAGGAGGCAGCTGATTGATGTTTCTCTCTCATCGATGTTTCTAGCTCTCTATACCTCTTCCTCTCCCTTCCTCTCTGTAAAGAATCAATAAAATAAATTTTTTTTAAAATGAAGGTAATAATGATATCCTACTTCATAGAATTATTATAAGAATTAAATAAGTTAATACATATAAAGTACTTAGGACAATGCCCTGCACATAAGTTCTAAGTGTTAACAAAAAAGGAAAAACAAAACAAACAAACCTCATATCAGCCAGGACTCTAAAGACTTAAGTGACGGAACCTTAGTTCAAACTAGTTTAATCAGAAAGAAGAATTAATTGATTCTTGTTGCTAAAAAGTCCAGAGGTAGGATGCTTCAGAACTAGTTACATCCAGGAGTTGAAACAATTCAATAATCTCTCTCCATTTCTTCACTGACTTAGCGTCATCCTCAACAGATTTCTGCTTTGTGGTGGAAAAGGCTCTCAGCAGCCCTAGGCTTACATCCTACAAACTTAGCAGCCTCAGCGGAAAGAGAATTCTTTCCTGAGAGCCCTTAGTTGGAAAAGGTCCTTCCCCGAATAAATGTGAGATGATGACAGAAGATCCTTAGGGACGTTTAACCTGGCTCTTTAACCTGGAAGTGCTCACTTGGAGCCAGATAAGACTGTGATTCCATCCCATTACCTTTCTGAGCATCAATGATAGTCCCCTTCCTCACTCTTTCAAAAATCCCTTCCCCATCTGTGCTTGTTTGGATCCAGAGAGAGTTTATGGCTAGCCTGACCCAACCAGACTTTCCTTTGGGATCTCACTAGGAAAAATAGAAATGAGATGAAATGACTGGCATGGTTTGGTGGTAGCCTCGAGGCAGAGGAATCCAGGAGTACTGGTGTTCAGTTCCATACGTCAACTTTGGGTTTTTAGGGCCCGCAACTTTGTAAGAGAGTTAAGTAGTGAGTTGATTTTGTTTTGTTTGGGTGCAAATTTGTTGAATAGAGTCTAGTTGAGAACAAGTCACAGAAGAGCAGAACATGCAAGTCTCAAATATCTAGCAATTAAACAATTTATGGAGATACTTTTCTAGGTACT